GTACCGGCAGGGATTGTAGGTGGGTGGGAGTGAATGTACAGTGCTCTCTTCCACCTTCAATACCACGACTGAGGTGCCCTTGAGCAAGGCACCGAACCCCCAACTGCTCCCCGGGCGCCGCAGCATAAATGTGTTCGTTCACTGCTGTGTATTCACAGCACTAATTCCTAGTATGGGTAACCATACTTGGCCACATGTCACCTCACTTTCACCTAATGTAGTTTGATTTGTATCAGTTATCTATTTTAGTTACAGTAGTAATGTTGTCATTTTATTCGTTTTTTATTATGTCTATATAGGGTTTTTTATTAAGTTTTAGTTTTATTTGAGTTATTTCAGTACTTCAACATACAAAATGGAAATGAAATAATATATATGTATATATATTGAATGTATTTATATATATATATATATATATGTACATGTATATGTGTGTGACTGTACATACACACATGTAGTTGTTTTTTGGTGTTTGGCTTAGTGTTATGTATATATATATATATATAGTATTTATAGAGTTTTAGCTTTTAGTTTTAATTTAATTTTCTTATTTGTAAGTCGCTGAGTTATTTCAGTACTTCAACATACAAAATGGAAATGAAATAATATATATGTATATATATTGAATGTATTTATATATATATATATATATATGTACATGTATATGTGTGTGACTGTACATACACACATGTAGTTGTTTTTTGGTGTTTGGCTTAGTGTTATGTATATATATATATATATAGTATTTATAGAGTTTTAGCTTTTAGTTTTAATTTAATTTTCTTATTTGTAAGTCGCTTTGGATAAAAGCGTCTGCTAAATGACTAAAAGTAAAGTAAAAGATAATTTGCGGTTTTTAGAGCCAAGAAGTCCTCAGCCAATCAGAAAAAAACTATTTCAGTCTGCGAGATGAAGAGATGTAGGCTACATGTGTTTTCTGTTGTAATGACCTTTTAAATCTCTTGTCACAGTGTGAACGCTTGTAAGGTTTTTCTCCAGTGTTAACTCTCTGGTGCTGTTTCAATATGGTAGCCATAGCAAAAGTCTTCCCACAATCAAAGCACATATGATCGTTCACACTGCTGTGTGTTTTCTGGTGTAATTTAAAATGATGTAATTTAAGAGCTCTGCTTGTCTAAAACTCTTTCCACACTGATCACATGGGTACGGTTTCTCTCCAGTATGAATTATCATGTGATACTTAACACCTTGTTTGGATGAGAAACTCTTTTCACACTGAGGGCAGGTGAAAGATTTTTTGGCTCTTGTTTGCAGCGAGCAACTAAAAGATTTATCTTTAGTTTTGACATGATGTTTCTCCTCCGCTTCATTCAGTTCTTCCCTCTTCTCATTCTCTTCCATCAGCGCTGGGTCAGCGCTGCTGATTAGGGCTACACGATTAATCTAATGCGATTGTCATGAGCATTTTGTCAGTAAAGCCGGTTCTGTAATCAGCAGTAAATCTCCATGGCACACCCAATTTATTCCGCAACCGCATTTCCTGGATTTCTTTTGTGGGCATATTTGGAGTTTCCGCGCAAGAGCGTCCTCAGGCCTTTGGATGAAGATTTACTACTGATCACAGAGCTGTGCTTCACTGACAAGATGCGCATGACAATCGTAGCATTTGCCTAATTGCGATTTCATTTCAATTCATCATGCAGCCCTATTGCTGATCATTTCATATAGCTACCAGCTACATCAGCATTAGACATTTAAAATCCTTTTAGCTGAAAATTTACTTTCAGAGAGCAGAAAGTGGTTGAAATAACATAAAATTCAGTTTGATCTGATGTGGATTCTGATTACAGAATTATATTATTTATATGTGATGCAAAAGGCTAGCATTACCATGGTAAACATTAAATACAAGACACTGCATCAAATCATATATCATATTTATTTGGTCACATATTTTATCGGTCAATGAATCTCTGCGCTCAAAGCTCCAGATTGTAGAATTTTGTGGAAAAATTATAGAAATTATCATTCTAAGGACATGTGATATAAACAACTGAAAATGTTCCTTTTTTTTAATGTGCATGTTTTTGAGCAACGCCGACGTCCTACGTCATCCGCCCCGAGCTGCTTCCATTTACAACAGTGAACACAAGCTAGATTAAATTGATAAATTGATTTTACAGCATTGTTAAAGAAAAATCAAAAATAAACACCAACCTTTTTTGTTCTGTATCTTCATGCTTCACTCTGAAGAGTTCTGGATCACTTTTGATATCACTGTAATCTTCAATATAGGCTACTCTATCTTTATCGATTCATGTTCTTCCACATGGTCTGAATTCATGTCTTGCACTTGTAAATAGTGATT